CTCCGTTTAAAGAAGGATTTGCTTTCTACCGACCTTAATTCGACTGCATCTTTTTTTTATGTGTGTTACCTCATAACTTTTTACTGGGTGAACCGATTTCGATGATTCTTTTTTTATTTGAAAGCTGGTGCTTCACGTGTAGTCCCATATTGATCAAGGTGTGACCAATACTTTTTGAGTTATTCTTAATAATTTATATTGAAGTCGGTTGTACAAATTTTTAAATTTTAATTTATACTGATTGCTGTACAAGGCTCTGACGATCAACTTTGTTGGTAGGAATTCTCTTCTGCATAAAAGTCTGCCTGGGCAGGTGTCACCCTCTTATATATTTCCACCGCTAAGCAACAGCGCTAGCACCACTTTTTGGTCTAAAGCGTGTCCGTAGCGTGAGGCCTTTTATCTTGGTGCTGGGCATTGACATCGCATCTGAAGATTATTTTCTACAACAGTCACTTAAACATAAGGTGGACTGTTAAAGCACTTCAATTTTATAAAGATAACACACATTGTAAAATAAAATGCTAAACAAAAAGCGATTTTTCGGGACCGATACTTGGGGATCTTCAAGACAAACATTTTTTTAAAGACCGACAATGCACTTGCAACTCCCCTGGTGTTGTAATTGTTCATTTTTTATAGGATAGGGTGACAAACGAGCACACAGTCCACCTGATGGTAAGTGGTTGCTATGACCCATAGACATCCACATCTATCCTCAAGAAATAATCAAAATATAGATGCGTTGTCACCCGTGAGGAATAAGATGGAATGCCTCTTTTCCAGTAAAAAGGGTCTCCGGTTCTCTTCACTCACCGTACGAAACACAGCAGTGTTAAGCTGCTATTTTACGCTGGTATTCTGTGAGAGCGTTGTCCTTCCCCGGCCGAGGCAACCCATTCGTGCTACAACTATACTACTAATATAGCTGCAGCATGGCTCTACCACGTAAAGAAAGTGAGCCGCATGCTCGTTTGCCTGCGGTTAATAAAAAAAAAACACGAATAAAACTTGATAGAGAACCTGCTCTTCTAAGTGCTGCAGTATTACCCCCTAAATCTATGTTTAAATTATGATATCGACAATAATCAATACCGAAAAATCGCTAATGTATTATCTTTTATATGGGAAAGATAACCGTATAATGAGAAACGATTAGAATGACGCAAAACGTTAGTTCCCTCTGAATTTATCTTTGCGTAAACCAGCCGATTAATTAATGTTTAGTCTGTTAGCCGATATTTGACTTGTTCACGATTTAAGAGCACTTAAATAGACTATCTGTCTGACCATGGCAGCCGCAAAATTATTTCGTGGATAAATTACTGTTTATTTCCTATTTATCACACTACGTTTTTAGGAATCTGCAAACTATTTCGGGTAACTGTTTATGATGATAACGATATGATTTCTTTTACGTGGTAGAGCTATGCTGAAGCTTTATTTTGGTTGATCGACTGATGCGCGACCACACTATGCATTTGATGCATTTTGATTTCTAATCGAGGATAGATGTCGCAGATGACTGAGATGACTTTTTATTTTTTAACAGTGGTAGAGCTACGCGGCAGCTTTTGCTGTACGCACGAATGGGCCGGCTCGAACCGGGGTAGTACCACGACCTCACAGAAAACCAGCGTAAACTAGAGGTTTACCTCTGCGTTTCGCTTGGTGAGTGCAGGTGGCCGGAGGCCCTTTTTACTGGAAATGAGGCATTCCATCTTAGTCCTTACGGGTGACAACGCATCTACATTTTGATTTGTAACAGAGGATAGGTGTAGATGTCTATGGGCCGCAGCAACCACTTACCATCAGGTGGACTGAGTGCTCGTTTGTCACCCTTATCCTATAAAAAAAAATTTTTTTTGACTACTTTTAGTTTTTGCAGTTGGTTATTAATTTTTATGTTTTAATTTTTTTCTACGCAGTTTCCAATTTGAGATAGCATTGAGAAATTGGCGCCTACGGTCGAAATCGATCGAAAGTAAATCAAACATTATAAATGTAACGTCAAATAAATTGAATACAAAATGGCATTGGAGACGAAAATATCGTGTAATAATAAAATTAACAGAGCCATTAGGTAAAGCGAAATTCGGAGCGTGTTCATACAAATGCAATAAATTTCGATAAACATATAAATAGAAGTATTAAGACAACGACCACTTATAATTTACATTGAAATGTTCCAACTAGTACAGTGATGACACAGTGCATATTATTTTTGATCTAAAAACGAAAGAGACGATAAAATTAGACTCATTTTATTAAGAAAAAATTATAGTCATACATAAGAAAAACTTGTTTCACTGATGAACGAAGATTTTTAAGTGATAAAACCACGCTAAAGTTTTATTTTTATGGGTTAGGGTGACAAACGAGCACACAGTCACCTGATGGTAAGTGGTTGCTGTGGCCCATAGACTTCTAAATCTATCCTCAATAAAAAATCAAAATGCAGATGCGTCGTCACCCGTGAGGACTAAGACGAAATGCCTCTTTTTCCAGTAAAAAGGCTCGTATATGTATCATGATTATTAATTGTATAATCATGATAATAACATAGTTCTTCGGTTTTTTAACTGGATTCGAGATATTATAATGTTTTATTCACTTTTAAAGCATTAAATAGACTCATAACTTTTCTGCATGGCATAGGCTTCTCTTCATATATTTTTTTTATAGAATTGGGTGACAAACGAGCACACAATCCACTTGATGATGATAAGTGGATGATTTAGCCCATAGGTGTCTACATTTCTCCTCAATTGTGAACCAAAATGCAGACGCGTTGTCACCCCTGAGGACTAAGATGGAATGCCTAGTTTCAAGTAAAAAGGGTCTCCTGTTCTCTACACTCACCATACGAAACACAGCAGCATTAAGTTGCTATTTTACGCTGGTATTCTGTGAGAGCATGGTCCTTCCCCGGTCGAGCTCACCCATTCGTGCTACAACTACACTACTAATATAGCTGCAGCATGGCTCTACCACGTTTAAGAAAAGAAAGTTGTGGCTGTGGCTGCAGCACGAATGGCTCAGCATTACTTTCAGGAGTGCCAATGTAGGAGTTTAAGGTCTATATTAGCTCCCATTCGGCCCAAGCCTCTAAACCTATGAGAGTAGTAAAAGTGTACCTTCAAACAGGTATCACTGATAGAATTTACATCCAAATTGATATCCTACAAGCCAAGTATTATAGGATCCCCAAACAGTTTATGCTTGACAAGAAATACAAAAAAAAAAACATTTAAATTAAACAAGTTATCTGGAAGATCAGAACCCCAAAGAACTTATTATCTTTACATATTGTTCAAACCCTAATACAGGTACAGGATATCGAAAGAACAAAATGTTCATTATACGTGCACAGCTATGTACCTACACTATAGTCAGTCAGGCTGAATTTATAGTTATAATTCAGTTGACGATAGCGATAGATTCTAGAAATGTAAAGGATCACTTCAACCGAATGCGATAATACTGAAAAAACCACCGACACATAATATTCGGATAGGAACAAGTGATCTTACCGGACATGGTTCTACAGGTTAGGTTTGATCTATACACGGTAGAACCATGCCACAGCTATATTAAGGTTGTAGCACTAATGGGTCGGCACGACCGGGGCAATACCAGCGTTAAATCGCAGCTTCATGTTGCTATGTTTCGTGTGGTCAGTGAAAATTATCAGAGACCTATTTACAGGAAATAAAACCTTCAACCTTAGTTCTTAGGGATGTCAACGCATCTACATTTTGATTATTAATCGAAGATAGATGTAGATGTCTATACGCCACAGGGCATATTTACAATAGGTGGTCTATTTTTCGTTTGTCACCCTTATCTTATAAAATAAAGACAGTCCCCAGAGCAGGGTTTGTATGAGGAAAGAAGTAAAAAGGTTCTCGTGCTACTGGCATGTAAGTAAAGAATTATTCATGTGCTACTGGTGTGTCCGGAGGTCGTCACACAAGGGGCTTAGCAATAAACATCTCGGCGCGCTGAGGTTGTTCCCCAAGGTCATCAGTAATCAAGGGAATACTGAACTTTTTCGAGGAGATTTCATGGCTTAAATACTTAGATATAATATTCCTGCCCACTTGCGAAATACGCGCTTTAGACGTGTAGTTGCGGAAAACAGCCCGTTACACAATATAAACTAACCCCCCAATACCTCATTTAGTGATTAAATTATACTCTTTGGCCTCATATAGTATGACCTCATGGTTGTGCAAATACCTCATTTAGTGCTTATATACTCATTGACCTCAGTGTTGAAACTTATTATATTTTAATATATTTTTCTTTGTCCAAGATATTTTAGGTACTTACGTACCTACCTATTATTTTTTTATTTATGATGTGAAAACGATACAGATAATAAAATTAAAAACTAATGGCCAAATACAACCGCTACTCAATTTTTCACTCTCGTGGTGTCACGTTCACTTTGACTTAAAGTGATAGAGACAGCACGAGACTTAACGGCATTTTAAAATTGAGCAGCGTATGAGTAATTGGGCATTATTCTTGTAACTAAAAACACAAAATTACCTATTTTTGGTGCAGCACATATCTAATTCGTTAGTTGCATAGCTTTATTATTATTATTATTATAGTAATATAATAAGGAAAAATATTCAAACAAGTTTATAAAGTGACAGAAACATATTGCCGTCGCGGCTGTGACTGCTGCAAGAATGTGAAGGCACTTGGCATTCCTACTTAGTGTCTATTTAGGGGCGACAACGCAACTGCATTTTATTTCTTAGATGTAGAGGTTTAATGACTACAGATCCACTTACCATCAGGTGAACTGTGATCTAATTTGTCACCCTTATATGTATAAAAAACAAGAATATAATTAACTAAAAATATATAGTGGTCTATAGATAACAATACAACAACTCTTAACGTTTATCATCAGTTAAATTAATGCACACAACGGCAGCAAACGGAGTGTTAGGGAACTGGTAACAGGGAGGACTGGTCTATACCTGATGACAGCAGTTTCTCGGGCAGGGAACCATATGGTAAATGTGGCTCACCGGAGACAGCGGCTGCGGGATGCTGGACGTCCTGAGCATGCTCAGCCGACGCCGCTGTTCGGCCGTCAGCGATGCGCGACGACTCCTGGCAAGTTCATAGTCCGACAAATCAGCTGAGCCATTGCTCAGGCGTCGAAGTTTTGGACGCAGCATCGTTTTATCATTAAAAGCGTTGTAAACAGAATTTTAAAAAAAAGTACTAAGGACGAATCAAAGGCGCGAAATAATTAAATTCTATATGTTTAATATAAAAGTAGCAACTTAATTGATGAATTTTGTTTTGAGACAGTTCAACTGTTAAGATTTTACTGAGGTTGTTAGAGCTTTTGATTGCATATATTATTAAAAGTTATAATTATACTAGAATTTTAAAAGTTTAAATGCGTTAGTCATTGAAAGCAGTGAAACATAAATTAACCCGGCAAGTACCCAATTATTTATTAGTTAAATGTTAACTAGAGAGATATAACTTGAAGTTAAGGAACTACTTTACTAAGTTAGAAAAAATGCACTAAAATAAAATCGATAATAATTATAAATTTACATGCCCCAGCCTTGCGTTCACTATCCTAGCCAAAATTTAAAAAAAAATTAAAAACATATAAGTTGACTGCAGTAAATATTTTTTTTTAAATATAAGTCAAGCGCAATACTAATTAATAAGAAAAGTAATTTAATATTTTTAATTGACTTTTGAACCAAAAATATTTAAGCGACATTTATTTCACAAACGAAAACATTACGTAGTGCATTAACTACAAGAGCAAAAGAAAGCATATAAAAGTAGGTACTCTGTGAAGCCAACCAATGCACAATTCACAATCACCTTTTCCTCTCCATGTCACTTAATTAATTATTTATTTAAACAACATATTATTGATTACACGTTTTTTACGTTTTCTACTTCTACTGGAGATAAAATTTAAAAGGAATTTATTTTTAAAAAATTCGAACACTAAACATTCGAAATTACGCGGGAAATATCGACGCTTGTTTGGGACCACCAGCGTGACGGAGCGCGGAAACAAGGAACGTAGACTGAGTGAGCCAAAGCACACATACGAGTTGGCGGCAAATCGCTGTTGCACAATTATCTGTCTGACATTTAAAATTGGATCAGACGCGCGAACATTAACGCGGTTGATGACAAACCACTTTCCCCTTTATTATCGGGATAATGTTTGGCAAACAGTTCTTTAGAAATTCTATATAGCTCTTTATAACAAGGCCAGAAAGAATAATTAGATTAAATCTACTGAATTCCAAATAACTAACTAACCATCAACTGTAATATGTGATAATATTATAACAGGAAAGAAATATTTTTAACGAGGATACAATACGATACAGTCGCAAGTTTGACTAATAAAAAGAGATATTGACTTAACTATCATCATCATTACATCCCTTCAAAGGTCAACAAGGCCTTACATAGGCCTTACCCAAGGAATGCCACAAAGCACGGTCCTAAGCCACCTGTATCTATCGACTGCATGTCTTACCAGGTCGTCACTTCATCTAGTAACTTTTGACTTAAGGCGCAGGTTGAGCAAAATGTCGCGCTAGTCGTTATTTGTGCGGTTTTAAGAAGCTATCTACTTTTTATTTAAAAGATATATCAACAAATAAAAAACACATTATATTTCTACATAATCTTGATTCCATAAAAGCTATATCCAATTTTTTTTTAAACGAATAAATATTAATATAATCTCCTTACAACGAAACCACATAAATGTGAAATTATTATTGATAACATGGATCTCCTCGTAAAGTAAGTATTATTTTATTTTGCGATTTACACCAATGGATAGACAATTTATTAATAAACATTTCTATAGTAAATTTTTTTTCAAAAGACCAAAATTTGATTTTATTAAGAAATTATTTTAAAATCTGGGCATATTCACTGCTCACGGGCTTGTTGGAGTCAGTGAGCCCTGAGCTCTTCGACGCGAAGCCCGTGTCGTTAGAGCGTCGACCAGCACCGCATACACTCACGTAATATCAGTCGATAAATAATATTACTTATTAGGTTATTTATAGGTAGTATTATTTGTTTGTTTTGGGTATAATTTTTCGTATTAGTTATACATATATTTGTTGTGTTTTTTACTGCGCGATGAAGTTTTTTGCGTGTATTTTCTTTGAAGTAAATGCAAATAAAAAAATGAAGCACCATTAGCATGTAAGGTTCGAATCCATAATTAAAATTTCGATAAATATTATAATTTACACTATAAAAGGCTAATTCAATATTATCACCCAACCACAATATCTTATTATGTACAGTACTGCCTCGTTGGTCTAGTGGTTGTAGTAGTGCGACTGCTGATCATTAGGTCCCGGGTTCGAATCCTGGGTCGGGCCCTGTCAGTTATGAGTTTTTCATTTATGTTCTAAGTTATAATTAGTATTACTAAGTTATAGTTTTTTGCTAAAATATAGTATATTATTTATTGCTTGTTTTTTCTTCTTTTTCAAAAAATAATTGAGTACATAAGGTGTTCTATACTTATAATTCGGTAAAAAGTATCTAAGTAGGTACTAATATACTACTAAAAATTTTTAAAACTAAATTTAACTAAAAAGACTAAACTGACCATTTATTTTTTAACTCAAAACAGGACATGGGTTTATTTATACTCTAAAAACTATAACTTTTTGCAATTAGTGTTCACTGTAAAATTATATTCGGTATAGACGGTAATTATTAAATGCAACATATTTTTTTAAATTATTAATTACATTTGTCAGTTGATTAATTTTTTTTTAATAAAGTTGGTGATGATTTTAAATAAAAATAAAATTCTGCTAAGTTTTTTTATTGTTATCTTTGTTAACAACATCGCCTTTAGAACTCTGGAACCGTAAGTGTTTCTTTCAGACGTCCACAATTTATTCAAAATAAAAAAAATACTCTTTCTACCGGAGCATTCGTACCAGGTAGACATAAAATATATTCGATTAAAAAAAATTATGTTGAAGATTGTTGACTTTGAATACTTCCATCCAACGAGTTACGGGACAATTTTGTGTCCCGGAGCTTTGTTTGGGGACAATGGGACAGGTGACCGAGAAAAGGGACAGTCCCGTTCAAAACGGGACGTATGGTCACTTTAGCTATAACCCGGCGACGGCTCCGTGGGGCAGTGGCTTAGCAATTAGTTGTTGCGCTGGGGGCCGCGGGTTCGAATCCTGCACGGAACAAGTATTTGTATGGCTTACAAATAATTGTTCCGGGTCTGGATGTTTGTCCTTGTGCAATTTATGTTTGTAAACTGCCTCCACGACACAGGAGAAAATCCTAGTGTGGGGGTAACGTTTTTTTACAATTGAAATTGAAAGATTGAACCCTTATACTTCTTGTTGATTTTTGTATTAGTAGGTAGGTATATTACTTTTCAATACGTGACACGTAAAAATTAACAATAATCAAAAACACATCTACGAAACATCCTATTTATTTATTTATTCTTTATTGCACCAAATATTTGTACAAAAGGCGAGCTATCTATTTATTTACCTATAGTGAATAGGTATCTTTTAAACTGACAATTTTCAATGCTTCATTTTTAATATATAATTAATTATAAAATTTCATAATTAGATAATATATGAAAATACATAATTCTAATATAATGCAACTAATATACCGAATAAAAAAATTAAAATACATTTATCGTTGTACGCTGTGTGTATTTCCATAAATAAGTTCATTGATGTTGAAAAAATAATACTACGTTCGTACCTACAATAGGTGGTGGCGTCGTACATATTTCAAATAAGCAATGTATTGAGGCGAGCGGCGTGCCGCCGGCAAAATGCTCAAGGTCGTTCGCATGGAGTAGCCCCTTAATTAGAAAAGTACAGAATGGCAGCATTTACAGCCAGCCCAATCCCAAACCAGTACAAACCCACAAGCAGTCGACAGACATGGGTACTTTATTCATTTTTATACCGTAACAGCCTATTACAAGTAACTTCCACTGCTGAACAGAGGTCCCCCATAGATTGCCATAATTGGAGTGATATTTAACATAGTTTCCACGCTTGGCAGGTGAACTGGTAACCGCAGTTTTATTATTCTAGTAATTATTAGGAATATGCTGCTGCTTACCTCTTAATTTTTTTCCATACAAGATACACACATCCATAATTAACACGCCTATCGAACCGATAGTGGATATCCTTACACCGCGACTACATAGTTATTTTTTTTTTATAAATAATAAACAAATATTACTAGTACTAGTATCGAAATTAAATGACGAAAAAAATTTGACGAAGATATCGCGTCACAAAAAAAAAACTGAATGGTAAATTAATATTCAATTGTTTTTTGTGACGCTTTTTTTTGTGACTATAAAGTTTTTTAGAACTGTTCTGAAAGACTGTATAGTCGAATTAGGCACTTCCCTTTTGAAGTCGGCTGAAAGAAATATAAAACAACAGAAACATCCCCACCCTGTTAACTAATTGAACGCAATAGTGACAAAAAGTGAAAAAATAAATGAAAAGTAGATAAAAATATTTTGACAGGACAACACTATAATTAAATAGGTAATACCTAGCCAGCATCTACAAAACTGTACTCCGTAGTTTTCTGTTGGCTTTGAGTTTTAGAGAATCCAAATAGTATAAATATCCCTAAGTATTTCTTGTTAGTCTGTAGTGTAAATATAATAAAAATGTTTATATTGGTAACTATGTTTACCTAAAATATCAATGGTCGTAGCGGAATCTCCACACGTGAAAATGTGTGAAACGTATATTATAAGTAACTACGTAAGTTTGTGTATACATCTATTAAGGTGGAATCTGCGTTGCTCTGTGAAAGATCTAAGGAAGTAGAGGGAAGCTCCTTGAAGAACGGCCTAGTAAGCTCAAACAGTATTTGAAATGCAGCAGAATTCGAAAAGGTGACTATGTACCATAAACAATCGAAATTTCTACCTATTTTATCAACCAATTTAAAAATTCTGTTTTTATTATACACGTATATATTTTATACTACACACACACACGCAAAAACATATACACGCACACACACACACACACACACACACACACACACACACACACACACACACACACACACACGCACGCACACGCAAGCACACGCATGCACACGCACACGCACACGCATGCACACGCACGCTCACGCACGCACACGCACGCACATGCACGCGCAATCACGCGCAAGCACGCGCACACGCACACGCACACGCACACGCACACGCACACGCACACGCTTATATAGATAGTACAAACGATGTAATGTCCCACCTATGCAGGTACTACAATCGCTTTAATATAAATAAAGTTTATTATTATAATGCGAAGATATTTCACAAGCAAATCTATTTTTCATAAATGCTTTTATTGAATAAGCTAATCCCAATAGTTTTATGTTTTACTAGCTGTTCATCGCGACTTCGGCCGCGTGTAATTACGATTGGATTTCATGGGTTTTAATTTTTTGCTCGGAACCCTAATTCTTTTTCTAAAATAAAAGTAGCCTAAGTTACTCCTTATAATATCAGCTACCTACCAGTGAAAGTCCCGTCAAAATCGGTCCAGCCGTTTCGGAGATTAGTTGGAACAAACAGACAGAGAGACAGACAAAAATTTAAAAAATTGTGTTTTTGTTATAAGTATTCCATATATTTTCATATACGTTTAGTTAAAAACTGTTATTTTAACATTACAAACAGACACTTTCTTTGTTCATGGGCGGCGGTAGTCACCATCAGGTGAGCCGTATGCTCGTTTGCCCTCTCTCCTATAAAAAAAGACTTCAATTTTATTTATTTGTATAGATTAAAGCACTCACCCGACTCTATTTATAATGTTTGCGTAATTTATTCTTATGTTGAAAGCCTAATTGCGAAAAAAGCGTAACATAAACATATTACAACATAAAAAGTTACTTAAGACAACTGCATTAATTTCTTTTTGTTTAAAATTTGAGATAAATGGCACAGTTTCTAAACAATGTCAGTCACTATTCCTTTAGAAAAATGATAAAGAAATAATG